CTTAAATATCTCTCAATATTTCATAATCTGCTTTTTGTAAAGGAAATTACATTAGAAATTTAAATATTTTCATTCTCCACCTCCAACTCAATATATAAAAATGGCTGACACATTATGGTATTATAACAAAATATGCTGTAATATTATGCAATCAGTTAAATTCTATAAAGAATATTTATGAATATCTAAAACTGCTCAAGATAGAATTTTAATTAAAAAATGCAAAATTGTGCATTTAATAATATTCTGGCTTATTTAAAATGTTAGTCTTAATAAAACTAAAGAAAAATAAATTTACATTTTCTTCTACATATTTTTCATATATAAACAATATATTGAAGGAAAATACACCAAAATGTTGGCAGTAATATTTTACTGTTTTCTTCTTTTACTTTTCTGTATTTTCAAAGTTTTCTACACTGAGTATATTTCTTTCAAATTCAAAACATTTAACTTTTTAACCTGCATATCAAAAAGCATTTATAGAAAAAAAATCAATCTGCTTTTGCAAATTTAAAGATAATCCTTTAAATGATGTAACTTGACCACACATATATATGGCAACTATTTATTAAGTACATATATGAATATTTACTATAAGAGATGAAAACATTTCGGTACAAGTACTGCAGCAGACTGGATGTATCAATAAGATTTTCCTGTGGAAAAAAACCTGACATTAGTAAGCCTGAAAAGGAAGGACACGCAGAAGCTTTGTGTTCAACCAGGTCTCTTTGCATCATTAGGTCAAAGCCATGCTTTGTACATATTAGGCACAAATAAATACTTGCCAAATATGAACTTTTTATAAAAGGGCTCTAGCTTAAGGGCCAAGAATTTACTTTAAAATCTAGAGTGGTTATGTGGCAGATGGCTAAAGCAGAAGCAGGTGGCTTTTAAACACAATGGATACATTGAAAAAAAATCAACTCAACATTTGCCTTAGGGTTTTGTGTGCACAAGGGCACACGCACACACAAGTCTGTAAAATGTTTTCAATTCATATCATATAGAAATAGTAGTATTCTTAAATGTTTATTAACAGCATTAAAACATTTTCATCCTCAGTCCTTTGAGTTAAAGAAAAAAAGTTATTAAAATAGAGGAGCCAAAATTTAGAATTCGAAACAATCTCACATACACTAAGATACAGCAGAGTAAGATGCTTTCCAGACTGATCTCCACTTAACCAACTTGCCACATTAGTTTTACACTCTCCATTTTCTCTGAAAGACATGCGGACTTCCTGTCCACAGGATACTATTCATGGCTAGTACTTCCACATACATCTTGCTCCCACATCAGTTTTTTAGGAACATTCATTATAATTAAAGTTTAAACACATAAAATACTATATAAAACAAGGAGATTGAGTACAAAAGGTGTTATTGTTTCTATGAAAACTAAGTTAAGTTCTTTGAAAAGACTCAGTAAAGGCGAGTTACTTTAAAAAAAAATGAATTTAAGTTGGGCAAGGCATTTCAAGAGATTATTAAAATCTAAGATTCTGTCCCACATTGCTTCACACGTGTCATTAGGTTATCACTCCACTTTATAAAAATTAAAACTAGAAACTTGTAGTCCATCCAATGAGTGCAAAAAGGGCATAGAAATTCAATTAGTAGAATTATATTTATATCAAAAATGTAAAACCTTATTTTTTAAATAGATAAAATATTCAAAGTATGTATGTTTGATTTTTTGATAGTTTTTATAATAAAAACTTTAATTGACTTTTTGATTAACTGGCGAACTATTTGGTAACAATTACGTTGGCTAAGAAGGTAAGTACAATACTTAGGTTCCAGCAATGAACCTAACCTAACAGACATAACGGAAATGTTCTAGGAAGTAAATCAAAACATAGTGCCTTCTATATCTAGACATGTCAAATGATTTTACACATGAATAACATGAGCTTTAATTCCCAGACTGATGATTACAAATAAAAATCAGTAAAACTCTAAGAAGCAGGTTCTCCAGATTTAATGTAATTAAACAAACAGCAAACTTTGGATAAACTATTCTAAGTCAGAAGATTTCTGTCAGATCATTTAAATGTCTAAGAAAAATTAACATCAATTCTTAGAATAATCTCTTTTAAATCTTCAGCCAATCTTTATAACCTACATTAAAAAATGACATGCATTTTTCCATGTCATTAGAGAAACACAAATTTAAAATCCCAATGCAGTATCACCACACACATATTAGAACGGCTAAGTTTAAAAATAATGACATTACCAAATACTGATGGGGATGAAGAAATTGAAATTTTCATGTATTGCTGGTAGAAATGCAAAATAGTACAGTTACTTTGCAAGTTAAACACTACTGGCAGAGTTCCTAAAATTCTTGGAATCTCCAGAATGTAAGAGTAACTTTTATATGCTAATGAGATGACTTCACATGGGTAATAAATAGTAGCCAGAAAGACCAAGGCATGATTAGAGGGATGGTCATCCCTACCTCGCAATTTCTGGGAGGGGAGAGGTTTGGAGAACTGAACTAATTATCAGTGGGCAATGAATTAATCAACCAGACCTATGAAATGAATCTGCCACATAAAACCCCTAAATTCAGAGAGCTTACTGGTTAGTGACCACATGTGCCCAGAAGACACAGAACCTCTGTACCACCAAACTCCTCCCTTCCCCTATTCCTTGCCCTCTTTCATTTGGCTATTCCTGAGTTGCATCCTTTATAATAAACCTGTAAAAGTATGTAAAGTGCTTTCCTAGATTCTGTGAGCCATTCTAGCCAATTACCCAACCTGAGGAGGAAGTCATGAAAACACCTGATTCACAGGCTGGTTGGTCAGAAGTACAGGTGGCAACCTGAGACTTGTGACTGATGCCTGAAGTGGGAGCAGTCTTGTGAGACTGAGTTCTTAACCTGTGGTGCCTATGCTAACTTTAGGTAGTTATTGTCAGAATTGAATTGAATTATGGGATACCACGTTGATGTCACAACTGGCTGCTGGTGTGGAAAAAACCTACACATTTGGTGTCAAAAGTATTGTAAGTAAAAACAGTACCTTTCCCATATAACTCAGAGAAATGAAAATGTCTGTAAGACCTATACAAAACTTTACAGCAGTTTAATTCATAATAGCCAAAGAACAAAAATAATCCAAACACCCATCAACTGGTGAATGGATAAACAAGTATATATACAATGGAATACTACTCAGCAATAAAAAGGAATAATGCAACAATATGGGTGAACAACAAAAATGACTACCCTGTGTGATCCTGTTTATATTAAATTCTAGAAAAGGCAAAACAATATTGAAAGGAAAGCCAGTAAGTGGTTGCCAAAGGCCAAGGGTTGGAAGAGGGATGACTGCAACAAAGGGGCATGAGAAATAATTCTGGGGTGATGGAAATGTTCTATATCATGATTGTTTTACATGACTACACATTTTTCAAAACTAATCAAATCATACATTTAAAATTGGTGAGTTTTACTGTAAAGTTGACAAACAGCATTAAAGAAACAATTTTATGAAAAAAGTGTTCCCCTTGGCTCTCTTTCTATAAAATTTTCTAGAGCAAACAATACATACATACATGCATAAAATATGCTTTATTTTTCTTTTTAACATAAACGTTTATAATCCCAGAATTACTTAATGTTCTCTCATATGGATTAAGACAAATTACATAGTTGCACTGTTAGTTTTTATTGCCAACTAAACTGTGCAATCCATGACCAAATGTCTTTTTTACTTCAAAGATAACTACTATGCACATAAATACATCCTACTTTTCCTCATTTATACTTTTAAATTTTAATTATGTGAATCATTAATCTGATGATTCTGTTACGCTGGTGAATCTGTTACTCTGACAGGTTTAACTTCTTAAAGTGATTTACTGTCCATTACCTGTTTATTTTTAATGTAACAATTAGGTAGGAGAAGTTTGAAGGTACTGGAGTCAATACTTAAATTTCCAGGCTAAATATCCAATAAAATAAACTTACTCATGACAGAAGTGACACAGAATGAAAGTGACTATCTTAAAAACCTTAAGGAATACATAAAAATAAAGCAAAAAAGATAGCAAGAAGTGACTTACAGGACAGACCTGGCCCACAAATGTGTTCTGTGTGGCTTGTATAATATGTTAAGAATCAGAAGAGATTATTCACCTAAGCTTTCAATTTCTCTTGAAAAATTAGAGAAGCCCTGGCAAGACTGGGTTCACACTCCTAAATTACAACAATCAGCTAAAACTAAGACGACACTGTCCCTTTTGTACTCTTCCGTTTCTCCAAGTCCCATAGCACTTGAGCTTACTCATTTTTACTTCCTGCCCGGCTACATGTACCTGAGTTTTCAAACCCTAACAGAACCACCTCTTGTTTGTGCCTTAACTAACTATAACCGAGAGGTGAGTCATATTAAAGGCGTTCCCCCTAAATTTGTTTGGCCTAGTTCTCCCATCGAGGCAAACCCCAAAAAACTGTTTATTAAGAGTAAATTATAAGAATGCATATACTCTATTGCAGAAAACAAAATGTATATTGAATTTTAGAGTGTGTATGAAAATTATAAGCAATTTATAGTTCCACGTTAAGCAGACACTCCCGGATTCTAGAACTTGATTCATTCCCTTCAACAATGTAAGAAAGCCAATTCATGTGTAAAACCAAAGCAACAACAATAAACAAAGTGTCTTTGTTCCTCTTTGATAAAACAGAGTTTAAGACATAAAGAGCATATAAAGTATGCTGAAGGTTTTAGCAAAGGGGTAAAATGAACAAAATATAGCAGTATGTTAGGAAGCAAATAGGAATATAATTATAAACATGCATTCATTAGAAGCAATAATTGTTCATGCCCTTTATTTAACAAAAATGGAAACTATCTTTTACCACAACTTTTAGATATCTCTTGCTGAGATATCTCTTTTTAGTTATGAAAGAAAAAAATTCAAGGCCCTATATACAAAGAACAATTTAGTAAACAGAAAAAGAAATTCTAACAGACTTACCCGCTCTAGAGTTGCCTCATCCCCTGGTAGACATGCAGCAGCAGCAGCAGCACAAGCTATTTCCATCATAGCAGAGCTGGTGGGAGCATCAGTAGTAGATGAAGACCTGGGTCGGCCAGATTGCATAACAGGTGCCGTCTCCTGGCCAGATTTCCTGTTGATTTGGGGACTTCCCTTTGGGGCCTCTGGCTTGCCCCGCCTACTATGCAAGCTCGTCCCTCTCTTCATCTTGGGTGGCACTCGGATCTGTTGCAGGACACGATTCAGAGCTGTGGGGTGGGTGGGGACACCATCAATCTCAGCACACGCGTTCTGGCTTTCCAGATCCATTTCAGGTTCTGGATCTGCCTGAATTTGTTGCACATCGTGTGGAGACACTGATGACCTCCTGCGCTGGTGCTGGAAGAGATGCTTCAAGCCTTGGCCAATCACATTAATGTTCTCCAAAGCATTGTGGGTCATTTTAGACAACTTTTGTTCTGATTCTGTCTGCTTTCTGGCCTCTGCATCTTGGGATTTGCCTCCAGGATCAGGGTCCTCATAAAACTGTTCACTGCCCGAAGGCTCCATCAGTAGACTTAATAAGCTTATTTGCAAACTCAAAAAATTTTTAAACACCAAGACTGTCAAATTAGGTAGGCATTTGCTTCAACAGTAACTACACATGCAGCTGTGAGACGGAGGCTTCATGCCTATCTAATGTTAAAAAAAAAAAAAAAAAAAAAAGAACCTCATATTATAAATCCATGCAGAAACTCCAGTGTAAAAACAAAGAAAAACATGCCACTAGCCAAACAAATAGGCACTATCATCAAGCAATCTTTAATCAGAAGATTAAAGAACAGTTTTCTAAATAGAGGATAATGATTATTTTCTAGGATAGGAGAAAAAAACTTCGAAACAAGTACATAGGAAATAAAAACAGCAATGTTTAAAAAAAAAAATCCCTAGAAGTTTCAGTGTATGAAGAACTGAATACTAGAGTAGTCATTCTGGAATGGAAACCCCAAAGTAGTTGACAAACAGTCATTGCTTAGAAAATCAAAATACCAGAAAATTCAATATATATAGTCTTGCTGACGCAATTTAATTCTTCTTATTCATAACCACAGTTAATTATCCATTTGCTGAATATCAGTAAATTCAAACAGTAGTAATAAGTAGATATCCCAATCTAAATGTATGTAAATTTCATGGAAAAGAGGAATTTCTTATTACTCTTCATATTCATCAAGGTTACTGGTAACTAGGAGTGATGGGTTTGCTCTTTTAGTAAGAAAATAGGAGTAAAAATCTTGTAAGTTGAATTAACTGTCAAAGCATAAATGACTTTCTGGCACGACATGAGTGATCCAGTCTGTCTTCAGAGAGACTAGAGCTTTGCTCAGTATGAGCTATCAAGAAAGGGTATTTCCAAGAACTCCCTTTCTCTGAATAGTATCATTCTTGACAGAAGCTTCCCATATATCCACAAAAATTCAAAAGTAAAGTAGTAACATAGTAAATGTGGTATAGCAAAAGAGTAGAGAAAAAGAAATATCAAATAGCAACCGCACACCAATATTAAATGCAGGAAATTAAAAGGAAGCTGAAACCAAGAAATGTAAGGTCAGCACAAGTGTCATGGTTATAGAAATCACATGCAAAAAAGAGAGGAGGGGTGATGGTAGGCATGAGATTTTTCATAATAGAAAGTGTTTATTTTTATATGGAGTTTCTGCAAATATAAAAAAAATTGCATTAATGTACAGAACCTGCTAGAGAGGACAAAATATGGTGTAGGAAGAATTTCTTTATGTCTGTATTTTCCTGCCATTTTTTTGTTCAAAGGCCTTTAAAACTCCCTACACTACCAAGTACTTTAAACAATCTAAGTCACTATTAATAAAGCACTACGGTGGTCATGTTCTGGGAAAATGAGGACTCCTTGTCAGGAAGTAATAATCTAGAAGGCATAAATTACCTGATGTAAAGAGTTCACTACTAGACTCGACTACTAGAGTTCAGAGGGATAGGAACACAAACTCACTGAGTTTTGTTGCTGTAACTCTTCTCAGAAGACCTTCTTACCATGTATATAGGCACTGTCATTGCGGCTCTACTGTCCATACTCTTACATCCCTATTTCCCCATCTCCTGACCTCTTCATGACTCAGAAGCATAAAAAATGTGACAAAGTAAAAGACACCATCTCTCCCTAGTATCTTCCTCTTTCTAAATACCACAAAACTCTTCGCTCCCAAATGAGGCAAATGAGTAGCAGCTATGAGAATGGAAAATTTCACTGCCTTTCACTCAAAATCTTTGTGGCCACTCTAAAATCCTGCCGCACCCTTTTCCTGATTGTACTGTACACTGCTTCTATTTTTTTCCCTTTTTTCATTGGGGAAGTCAAGAAAGAAACTCTTAATCCTTATCAGATTAAAGATTGTCTTAGCCTCTAATGGAATTTTCTGGGGCTCCTTGTGGGCAAAAACATTGCAATAGTATATGTATTTAATTATCCTCATCTTCCCTCATTAGTTTGTAGGACAAACTAATAGTTATTGAATTATTTCCACTTTGCAAAACATTAAGCTCCTCAGGGAAAATAAACCAAAATTCCAGGAATACTGTATATCATCTAATCTCTTCTTGCACTGGGCTATTTAGACCCTGAGAAGAAAGGAGGATGTGAAAGCAGCAAGCTGATAGTAAGGAAGTAATTTACTTTTTCCTTATTTGTATTTTATTACCTTAACAACACAAATGATTTTCTTTCTGTTTTTGACAGTAAAATATATAAAGTAAATTTCTCCCATGAAAGTAAAAGGTATTATGAATAAAGGGACGACATCAAGGTTAACTGGAAAACCTTCTTACCTCATATATAAAGGCAGAAGGAGTTTATTACTCAGTCAACCTGTTTCTTTGGGCAGTGTCATAAAGTAATCAAGTGGCCATCTGCTTCTCATTTTTTTTAAATGAAAAATATGGTACATTTTATATGTCATTAACTTCATTTGCGATTTCATTAGCATTTGGCATAATTTATTTTCATATAAATCTAAGTTTTGATTGATTACAAGGAAATGCCAGCATTCCAGGTAAACCAAAAAATAGAACGTCAATCTCCAAACCAAAGTTTGCACAAGCTACCCATACAAATGCAAAGATTATGTAATAGAACAGTAAAAGAATTCCGGGATTTCTAAAGGCAAGATATAACCATACTAACCAGCAGAGGCTTACCTAATATGGCACCCTAAGTTGAACTTGAAACATCAAGTGGTAAGATAAAAATTTTCAAAAACAACCTCTTGCTCTGATGATAAACTATAATCTGGTACTTACACTTGTAGCTATCATCTGCATTATGGCTGTGGTGTCAACACAAATGAGAAATATGGTCAGAATTCTGACACTTGCTAAAATTTTCTGTACGCCAACAGAAAATCTCTAAGCAATACAAGCCAAATTTTACGGAAGGTCAAATGCTGTACCAAAAATACCAAGGACAGTAGTAATGTTGCAATAATTAACGCTATAAAACTGCTGACAGTAAAAAGGCAAGGACTAAAGAAATTCAACAATTGCAATGGTTTTTAGGAATCCCCTATTTTCTTCTGTAAAATTCAAATAATAATTGTTGCTCAGTTTATAAAATTCCCCAAATAACTATATTAAGAACCCTGGTTTAACACAAGTTCAACTGCAAAGTAAGTGTGCTTTTGTAAGGAAAAAAATGTTGGCTTCTCTTTTATTTACTGAGCTTCACTGAAAGTAGAGTTCTTGTAAGTAAACCAGAAGAAGTAGGGAAAGGAAAAGGAACAGAAGGACATGGCTGAAAGGGGTAGGGGAAGGAGTGAAAAGTGGGAAAGAAGAGAAAAAGCCACAACAGACCAGGCATTTGAGATAACTTTGTTAAATTCTCAGAATTTTAAACAATTTTTCTACAACTGTTTTGCCAAAGACACAATATGCCATTAGTTCATATTTAAGGAACTAGTTGTTCTAAATCAATATCAGAAATAAGTTAAAAATTATGTGTTTAAAATCTGTGAAATGTTTTCTGAGGATGCTCTAAAAAACCATTCCAAGTTATATACAAATTCTTTTTCTTTTTTTAAGTTTTCCTTTCTAATTTTTTTGTTTGTTTTTTTGACAGATATGATAACCAAAGCTCTTTGATTTGCTATGAACCAAGTTATTTCATTGAATATGAAGTATTGGATACTTGCCTTTATCACTCTTCCTCAAGCACTTCTAACATGTACAGGAATCCTTTTAGGAAAAACTGAAAAGCAAACATTAAGAATTACAAAGTGAGAAACTTAGAGGAGAGAACTTATCTCTTATATACACAGAGGAAAAAAACTGAGACTATATATATAAAATGTTAACATTTATCTCTCACTGTTAAAAATAGGGTAATTGTTTCCAATATTTTTCAATACTTTCTAATTTTTCAAAAATGTGATCAAGAAAAATTTTAATCAAAGAAAATGTTTTAGAAAAAAATATTAGCTTGTCATTACTTAAAGTGGCACAAGTCACAAGTAGCAATAAATATTTTTACACTATGATAATTATATGTGGATATTCCATTAATTCTAATCTTAAAGTAAAAAAAAACAACCCAAATCAAGTTCATGAAAAACAACAATTTATAAGCTAATATTTTTTCAAGTAACTTCAAATTCTGTATCTGTATTTTTGCATTTAAAAGCAACTCTAAAAACTGCATCTCCCAGAAACAATGAAGATTCAAGATGTACCAAAACTGAAATCTTCCTGGAAAACTAGCTTCTGACAGCCATTACCAGAGAAGCAATTTAATTAAACAAGTATTTGGGGGGCAACTGCTACGTGTTCAGCCTTATACAGACCAAATAAGGCATGTTACCCTGCCCTCAAGGAACTCACTATCTAGTTTTGAAAGTAAGATTCACATACTTCAAACTTAAAAAAAAAACAGTGCAAAACAACACAATTAAATGCTAAAATGTGTGAATAAACTGCAATTCTCATCAGAAGTTGGGAAGATCACCTTGGATGAGATTTGTTTGGGAAAACTTTATGAAACAGAAAGAGACTTTGAGCTTTGAGGGATAAGATGAATAAGCAAGATATAAACCAAGACTTCCAGTTTAGAGAGTAGAAAATACAGTATGTTTGGAGGCCAGTAAAGAGGCCAGATGACTGTATTGGTGGATTCACATCTCAGTCATCTGGAGAACTGGGTGGCTTGTGGGCAGATATGAGAGAGGACTTTCTATCATAGAATCTTTTGTATATTTTGAATTTTGTATCTTATGACTGTATTATGTATTAAAAAAATAAACTTCCATATTCCAAAAAGAAAGAAAATCCATGTTTTGATTTCTAGGATAAACATTTAAAAAATAATATGAGTATGTAACTGCTATGCTAACAGAAAGTAAAAACAATTAAAATACCCAAATAAATGCAAAAAGGCAGGCAGTCACAGAAAAGTAGAACATATAAAAAGCAAAATGTAAGCTATCGCGTGAAAATCCAAATATTCCAGTAACTATATTAAATGTAACTGGACCAAAAGACAAAATTATACTAAATAAAAAATAAGCTGGGTACTGGAAATACAAGGGGGAACATTTTGTAAAGTATTTGACTGTCTAACCACAATGCTATACACCTGAAACTAATACAAAATTATATTAAATGTAAACTGTAATTGAAAAAGTATTTTAAATAAACAAAAAAATCTAAAAAATAAAAAACAAAATTCAACTATTATGGTGCTTACAAGAATCACACCTAAAAATAAAAAGTATAGAAAAAGTTATACAAACATAAACTAAAAGGAAGTTGCTCTAGCTATATTAATAGTACACAAAGTAGACTTTAATGCAAAAAGCATTAATAGAGGTATAACTCATTGGATAAAAATGTATGCTTCATTAGGAAGATATGAAAATTTTAAATTTGTGTTCATATAATATAGCCTTCAAATATATAAGGCAAAACTTAGCAGAATTACAAGTGAAAAATATCCATTAGCATAATGAAGAAATTATTATCAGTAGTTGATAGATCAAATGACCCAAAAAAGGGGTAAAAATGAAAATACAGATCTGAATAGCATGATTAACAAACTGGACCTAAAGAAACATATGACAAGCAAGCAGTAATTGCAGAATATTCTGTCAAGCACAAAAAGATCATTTATTGATCTAAATGCTGAGTCCTAGGCAAGTCTCATAAGTTACTCTCTGACCACAATGTGTACCCCTAAGGTTTAAAGAGAGTGGAGGGAATCCCTCTCCCCTTCCCCTATTTTTCTCCTAACCCAATCTCTAGGCAACAAAGCCAAAATGGAGCAACACAGTGGCTAGACAAGCACCTAAAACCCTGAAGGAGGAAAAGCCTTCTCTCTGACTAAAGGAAATACAGTCACAAGAGCATGGATGAATCTCACTGCAGTTAGGAAGATTAAACCAGAAATTGTGACAAACTAAAGACTATGAGCTAACATGAGAATGTGAAGTCCCTGGGGGATGCAATGATAGGAGGGTTCCCACCCTATTAGAGGATTTTCCTCCAGGAACCTCAAAGGCTTTATAATGCCGGGTGGTGGGGTGGTGGTAGGGGGGGATCTGGGAGAAATCAAAGAAAGCTCCTTGTTCCTGTCCTCACCCACTCTTGTGGAGTTGGAGAGTGGGACAGGAGCCAAAGCCAATCAGCCCAGACCTACCTCCCCTCTCTCCTTACAGAATAAAACGCTTGATCTACAAGGAAAAATTCATCAAGGCCTGTACCTTGAAAACACAGGTAAGACGCCTGCTACAGCTAGAGGAAAGGAAAGAAGGCTGACATACCCAGTTTTCGCTACCTCTCTAAAGTAAAAATAACCTTAATGCTGAGGCGGGGGAGGGGGAATGGGCTTTTAAAAAGGCTTTAAAAAAAAACCTATCCTAGACATTGTAGTTAGAGTAAAAGAAAGAAGGGTAGAAGTTCCAGCCCTGGAAGTGAAATGGAAAGTCTTGTGAAGGCTACACTTCAAGACCCAGGAGCTGCCTAAACCTGAGGCTTAATAGATCATCATAGAATCCCCCTTACTCTCCAATACCATGCTAACAAGCTTTGAGCAAAACTAACAGTGGAATACAGCTGTAAGAGACAGATTCACTCTGAGAAACAGCACCAAGGGAAAACCCAAAGCAATATTCTATATCCAGTAAAAATATCCTTCATAACAGAAAAAGACTTTCCCGGAAGCAGGGGAGGGAATTCAATGCTGACAAACCCACCCTATAAAATATTAAAGGAAGTTTTTCAGACAGAAGGAATATGATACAGGTCAGGAACTTGGATCTACACAAAGAAATGAAGAATAAATGAAAGTAAAATAGAGTAGTTTCTTTTTCATATTTTTAATTGCTCAGAAAGACGACTGCTTAAAGCAGTAACAATATATTGGGCATTTATAGCGTATGTGGTGAAATGTATAATGACAGTGACAGGGAAAGAATGAGGAAGATACTATAATAAGATACATTGACTGCATCTACTTATAACAAATACTTTCATCAAACTTGGAAAAAATCCTTTAGGGTATAGCATTATAGGGTATAATATAAGGTATCTATTGAAAAATATACCAAAAAATCTAGAAAAATAATGCAGGTAAAAATAGCATTACTATGAATTTAGGACCAAATGGAGATAAAAGAATGGATATCTTGATATACACTCTGTATAACAGATATACAGAATGTGGATTACTCATCATTTAGCACCCACACAGAGTTAATATTAGATACATCTGTACATACAGGAAAATCATCAAAATGTTTGAGACCTATGAATCCTATGCATATAATGCAAATGTAGGAAAAATTTCATATAGTATCACACATTATATTTTTTAATGTAACTTCATCTTCAGGAACCTACAAATTAAATCCAGGCTATACCCTGGTAGTTTTACATTGTCTTCCCGGCTCCCTCATCTTCTCTTACCACTCCTGAAGGGTATCCACAAGAAAGGTCCTGGATTATTCTACCCTGTTTCTAATAAAACTCATGGTCTTGTAAAAACATGCAACTTTTGATTTACATCCCAAAAATCTAGTCTAAGGAAGAAGCTAGTGGAGTATTAAATCCTTTATTTTAGCTTTCTGACTCTGTTCATGAACTACCAAGAATGAAAGCTCTTAACCTTCAAAATAGTTCCTTCTTCGATGCGACCTATAACCTATAAATTAGACTCCTTAGTTACTGTGAAGACATATCCTATTTCCTCCAGGAAACAAAAATAAACAGAGGGGAAGATGTGTATGGGGCTAGTTACTCAGCATATCTAGACGGTGGTCCATTTTAAAATCAAAGCTACAGAGAGAAGGGGAGTGGTGGCAGGTGGAAGAGAGTAAACAAGGGATAAATAATGATGGAAGGAGACAAGACTTTGAATGGTGAGCACACAATGATGTGCAAATGATGTACTGTAGAACTGTACACTTGAAACCTACACAATTTTACAGACCACTGTAGCCCCAATAAATTAAACAAAAAAATAAATTAAATAAAGCAAAGCTAGAAGGCTCCTGGTGAAGATGGTAGAGTAGGGAAACACAGTATTGGCCTCCTTGCATGACCACACCAAAATTACAACTAAACTACAGAACCCCACCATCATTGAGAACCATGTGAAATCTGGCTGAGCAGAAGTCCTATAACTAAGGATATACAGAGGAAGCCACAACAAGAATGAGAGGAGGGGTGGAAATGCAAAACAAGATGATCCTATACACATCTGTGGTGGTTAAAGAATGGGAGGGATATCTTGGCTTCACAGGATGACCCTGAAGAGCAAGGGGTCCCAGTTTTACACCGGGACCAAAGAGTCCCAGGACCCCAAGTCACAGGTTCCAGTGTCAGACAGGTGAGTACTCATAACTTCTGGCAATGAAAACCAGTGGGGATTGAGGCTGAGACAGAGAGCTGCTGGAGTACCATGCATTTCTCTTAAAGGGCCCATGGAGGAATTTATTCAATGACCTTGCTCACTCTGAGCCCCAGCTCCAGCACTACGGCAACAACTTGAAAAGCACCAGAAACATATAGGAAAAGCTGAATTTGTCTGGCTTTAGAGCGAGGGCTGGAGGTGCAACCTTCCCCCAAAAAGAAATGCTGGCAGAAAATGTTCCTTTGCTGAGCCCTGCCCCTGCAGGCTCAGGTGAGTGCCGTAACTGAGTATTCATCAACCTAACACCTTTTGCCCCACCATGGTGATTCCCCGAGACCCCACCCAAT